CCTCGGATTTTTCAAGCATTAAGTATATCCAAACAGCTCTAGAGTAGTCATCGACAATAGTTAGAAAATATTTAGCTCCACATGAAGCTGAAGTACGGTAAGGGCCCCATACATCACAATGTATCAAGGAGAATGGAGAAGAAGCTTTATTAGAATTGTCATTAAAAACACCCCGAGTTTGTTTAGCACAGAAACAAATCTCACAAGGCGATGCTTGTTCTGAATCAAAAACTATTTTGTCTAAGAATGGTAAAGAAGATAAAACTCTAAAAGATGGGTGTCCTAGCCGCCGATACCATAGTTCTGATGTGGAAGAATTCTTAGACACAGCACGATGAACACTTGCAGCTACAACTCCAGTAAAATAATAAAGCCCCTCACGTTCTTCACCCGCTCCAATCAGGGTCTTCGTAAAACGGACACACAAGGTATCAGTGAATATCGCAATAGACCCAGTTTTTTTAAAGTAAGCGTGAGACAGAGATTAAGGTGCAGTTGAAATCAGGGACAACTAAAACATCGGTTAAGACGTAATCACGGCTACGTGTAATAGATCCTTCTTCTGAGCTTTAGAGTATCGTCCATCAGGGAATTTGATTGATGATGGTAGTATATCAGTAACGTTTCTTAGTAGAGATAGGTTCCATGTCATATGGTGCGATGCACCAGTATCAATAATAATATCATCAATATTTGGTTTACCAGACAACTTCTCTGTCGAGATGTTGGATCGTTGCTGAGTAGATTGTAGGAACTGAATGATTTGAGATATCTTATGTTGCTTATTGGTGATGAGGAAGTTTTGTTGTTGGTCATAGCTCTTGTAGAGTTGGTTCGATCATGACCTCTGTTTCCAGTAGTAGAAGAGCGACCACCACGTTTTCGTTTACCTGAGCTATACATTGATTTTTGTTGATCATACCACAAATATTGGTAGCCGTGAAGAAGAAAGCATTCTGATTTTTCATGTCCTTTTCGGGAACAATGAGTGCAGAATCTGTTAGGGTCACAAGATCGAGTGGTTATTGCTGCTGCTTGAAGCGTCTCTTGTATAGAAATCTCGGTCTGAGCAGAAAAACCAATAGCCTCTGTTTTGAGTTCTGTAGTATGAGCCGTATTGTTGTGTTGTTACTCTAGAACTACACGTGAATACACATTATCCAAATTAGGAAGTGGATCTTCATCAATAATTTGAGAACGGATATTGCGGAAGCGAGACTCATCCAATCCAAATAAAAATTTGTGTACACGAATCTCCTCTCGTTCTTTCTCTATATCGGTTGCAGCTTCACAAGTACAATAATGAGTTGTGTTGAGGTTGTCCAATTCTTCCCATAGTTTCGTAAGTCTTCCGTAGTAATCAATAACACTTTGGTCGTTTTGTTGACACAAGCCAATAGCGTCTCGTACTTTATGAATGCGAATGCCGTTACGAACAGAGAATCTTCTCTGTAAACTTTCCCAAAGCTTGTAGGCATCTGGGAGAAACGTTACCATAGAACTTATTTTAGGGTAAATAGACGTCCGTATCCAACCAACAAGCATAGAATTCGTAGCAAGCCATCTGGATAGATCAGGTTCTGTTGTTGGTTTAATAAACGAACCATTAATAAATCCAAGCTTCTGTTTTGCTTGAATCGAGTTGGAGTGTTCTGTAGCCCATTCGGTGTAATTATCTCCATTAAGTAAACCGAAAGTAATAAGGGCTCCAGGGTTGCCAGATGGATGGAGGTAGTATGGGGATGCATTGGGGGGGGAGCAAATAATAGCTGTAGTAGAGGATGAAGTTGTTGCAGAAGTAGTATCCGCCATGCTTTAGAAGAACACGATGGTATGGTAGTAGTAATAGTTTGTAGGGATCAGAGAAAATAAAACAAATTAGGTCAAAGAATCTTAGGCTCTTGATACCATGAAATAACTTGTAATAGTTTATGTGTGTCTTATTAGTATGGCAATCGCCTGTTTATATACAACCTTAAGAGAGTCCTAATCCCCTAGGACTTAGGTAATTACATCATTATCACAATAATAGTAGGACTTATCGTAATATCCTAGTGGTTATCTTATTAAACACTTCGGCTGAGCAGGACGACGAAGAGAGAGGAAGATGGTCTGGAGTTTGTGGCCAACGACAATGGCATCAGGATGGTCGAGGCTAGGTTTCCAGCGAGTGTGAAGAGAGACAAACGCAGAGCTGAAGCAGAAACTATCTTCTTCCATTGTAGTTGGTACAGCCTCTTCTTTTCATGACAAATGGTGCCTGCAAATAAACTGCTCTCCATTGTACTTGGTCCAGCCTCTTGAGTTGCTTGCTGCAGCTGATTCAGTGGCTCCACCATTTCCTTGCTGGCTTTTATTTCCTTGAACCCAGCAAGAAATTTATTTATGTCGTTCCATCTTCTAGAGTAGCAACTTGTATAGATTTCATTCCTTAACTACAAAAAGAACAGTTGTTTGCATATATGTATGGCACTTGTTCTGTAATGAGATCTCCCTGGTTGCTACCAAGTTGTCTGTTTCCTCCTTCAGCTTTGATGTTCGCATATGATCAGCAGAAGCTGAAACAGGCACTCATCCATATCAGCAGAGGTCTTTTACGAACCTAAAATGAGATGTGCCATTAAAATTGTTAGTGGTTAGATCAAAGCTCTTAATAACTCTGTTTTACTTGCCTTACCATAATAATAAGTGACAATTGTGTTTTCACTTATCTTACCATAATAGTAAGTGACAATTGTGTATATACATATAGTCAACATCAGAGTAGATCTCAAGCTTAATCCCTTTGCTATGAACTTAATCTGATAAAGATTTGATCATCGCTACCAGGTTTCCCTGTTAAATATATCACAAACACAACTCAGTTTTGTTCTTAATTTGTCAAACCATCTCAAAAAAAAGCAAACAAAATGTTTTTTTTTTCTTTTGGTGCTTATATAACCCGATAATCTTAAGTTCACCCCAACAATCATATATAAACACAGAGAAATCAGTACACAAATATTAAAACACTGAGAGATAAGTATAAAAAATTAACAAACACCAAAAGCGTCTTTATACTTACATTGATACACTTGTAACCTATTGTAGAGAGACCACTTGTACTCCTTGCATCAGTTGCCGAGAAACTTAGATTATTGTTAAATATAATAATAATAATAATAGATCTATCAATCTTGTATCAGATTGTTTTTCGTAATAATGGAATCAGTAATCACAGGTTTGTTTGATGAGAGAGCTCACTGATGTTAAGCTAGAGTGATGCCAGCTATTCAATCCGATAAGAAAGTAAGGTATTTTTCATCAAAAACTCAATGGAAACTACACTAATAGCAAAAACATATATGAATTTCAGCACTTGTAAAATGTAATGTTTGTAAGTGAAAAAATTAGAGGAGTGCAAGGTTCAGTCTTCCAAATACGCACCGTCTGATCAAAAGAACCATAAGTAAGCTTTGCCCCTCGGATTCTAAGCAACTGAATGTACCAACCAATCATTAACATCCTCCCATGGTTAGCAACTTGTAACCAGATCACTGAAGAACAAAGTATTGGTTTCTTAAGAGTTAAAATAAACTACTACCAGATCTGGTTGCTAGTCTCTGTCATCAGCGCTGAGAGCTGCCTCAGACTTCTTTTCCAACTCTTATAACTCAAATCCTCTATGGTTTAACCCTTCCTTCTCTTTCCCCTGGATTATGTATATCAGTTTCAGCCAATCCAAAGGCAATCAATGCTCTACATCTAGTTGACCACATGGAAAAATATAAGGTCATTGTCTTCTTTCTCAAAAGAAACTTGAATCAAGATACAAAGTATATTAATAAGAAAATAGTAACATACCGAATAGTGAAAGTATAAATCAACATCTTTTCAATCAATTCAACAAAACATCATCCTCATGAGATTCCGATGCCGCAAATTTGATAGCACCTTCACCTAATTCTTAAACGCTACCATTCTTTTGTACGACTTTGTTGACAATGTCTTCACTATTGATGGACTGAGAAAATTGGGGGATATGTAGAGATAGAGGAAGATGAATAGTTGAATCGATTTAATCGTAGAAATATAGAAGGTTACGTTTGTGCTTTTGAGGAGGCTTATCCTGGATCATCAATTATCATATGGATTCGACAATATGTCGGGTGGAAACAAAACAACAAAGCCCAAAACCAATAACACCAAAACCAGAACAAAACAAAAAGAAGATGACATGGACGATTCAAGAAATATTACTGGCCGAATTTTTAATTCGACGTGGCACACCTCAGAAACCTTTATATCCGCCTTTTATTTATAGTAGATTGTTGATTTGTTATATGAATATCAAATATTATAGACTATAGTTGCTTTTTATATTTAATTGTTGATTTTTTGTATATTTTTATATAATTTCTTGTTATATTTAATTGTTGATTTTGTTTTATATTGAAAGTATTTAAATTCAAAGAAAGTAACTTTTTCTTGTTTTCTCTAATTTAAAGGTTTTTTATAGTTTTATTGCAAAACACTTTGGATGTATTGTAATAAATAAGGTTTTATTAATGTGGTGTTGGACTTTTAATAAGCTAAGGTGAATCGATATCTAATTAAATGTAAGAAATAGTAGTGTACAAAACTTGTCGATCAAGATAATTTTTTTATGACGACTAGTGGAGTTTACATAATCCTCATGAAGAGGATGAACAGTTAAAGTAATTACATTGTAATAACATACAAATAAATTGTCATTTGGAATTCTAGCCTTTGTCTCACTCATAAAATGGATATTATAACTTATTTTTTTATATTTTACATATAATAGCATCATTATCATCTCCTAAGCCTCTCATCAGTACACCCTCCGGGGATCACAATCTCCATCCGTCACCAAGTGAATAAAGAAAGAGTCAGTAAACCGAGAGAGATGAGGAGGTTGAGCCATAGCCATTATGGTGCATCTTCGGCCATCTCCACGCAGTCTCAAGACTATCCTTGAGATTAGTGTGCTTAGCAGTCTAGTTAAGTTCTTTCCCGATCTTTTCTAGGGTGACTATAAACCTCAGCGTAATCACCTTGGCGTCTAGGCAAGTAATCGATCTTGATCTCAACGCCAGTCGCTTTCTTGCACGCCTCAACAAACTCTTACACCGAGCTACCTACTCCACACACACAGACACATTTAAAAAGTGCAGTCTCTAAATCTATATGCCATTCTTTAACAGTAATGTTAAGTTAAAGTCAATATACCTTTCCCGGTACCAACAGTACTGTAGATTCCGACTTTAGGGGGTTTTGCTTTTTGGAGAGCTTTAACATGACCATCAACCAAGTCAGTGAGATCAATGTAATCTCGTACGCAAGTTCCATTGGAGGTTTTGTAGTATGTTCCTTTGATCTAATGATAAACCAAAAGAAAGAAAACAAGTTAAGTTAACATCTATGAATAAAGAAGGTTGTAACCACGTGACAATAAAACTAATTATAAACGTTGCTTTAAAGAAAGATACTCAAGAGCTAAGTTGTGTCAGTTATGTATTATGCTTAGTTGTAAACTACTGCAAACATTCTTGAGCATGTTCCACAGCATGTGCTAGATCCGAAATACACCCAATAAAGGAGAAACTTTTGAATCAAGACCAAACTAATTATGACTGTCCAAATAACAAAAGTCAAAACCATCTTACTGAGGGAAATTGGATTTTAATTTGAGACAAAAGAAACATGAAATGAAGAAAGTGATTACCTAGAGACCAGGCATGATGCCACGTGCAGCATCAAAGCAAGCACCAGAGATTCTTCCATGCTTCGCAGCTCAAGCCTTGGTGCTTCACCCAATCTACCTTCTGGATCAGACCCAATCACATTGAAATATCTGAAAAAAATATCAAATGAGAAATAGATAGAGCTTAGAAGAGTGCATCACTAGAAGAGTGCATCACTAGAAGCTTTTAAAATCAAGGTAAAGAACCTGAAAGATGGTTTAAAAAACTCTGGATCACATTGGTTACAAGTACAGATCCAGAGTTTAAGAAGCTTTTAAAAGCTTCTAAAACAAGGCTAGTGAAATCAATAGTTTTGGATGAGAGAGCATGGAACAACTGCTTGATCATTGTCAAGATTATGACTCCTATCATTCGCTTGATGCGTATATGTGATGCTGATGAGAAGCCATCTCTGCCATATGTATATGAAGGGATGTATCGAGCAAGACTAGGTATTAAGAAGATGTTCGATAAGAAGCCTCTATACCGGCCTTATACAGACATCATTGATAAAAGATGGGATCGTATGTTGCGGCGTGATCTTCATGCTGCTGCGTATTATTTGAATCCAAGTTTCATATACAATGAAAATTCATTTTCTGACAAGCCAGAGATTATGAGTGGGTTGATGAACATATTTGAAAAGCAATCAGCGAGTAGTAAAACAAAGCTTGTTCAGGAGCTTAGGGTATATAGAGAACGTGAGGGCAGTTTCTCTCGAGATATGGCACTAACTTGCAGCAAAACCTCTCAGCCAGGTAACTTTTAACTTAACTTATTATTTTCTCAGTGTTCTGATATGTATATATATATAAATATTTAGATGACTGGTGGAGGTATTTTGGATCATCTGCTCCAACTTTGCAAAAGTTAGCAATGGGAATTCTTAGTCAAACTGCTTCTTCATCTGGTTGTGAACGTAACTGGTCAGTATTTGAGAGAATCCATACCAAGAAAAGAAACAGACTTGAGCATCAACGACTAAATGATCTCGTATACGTTCACTACAATTTACGTTTGCAAGAAAGGTGAGTAAGTTATTATTATTATTTTTTTTATTTAGTTTAGTTTATAACAAGTCATTACATTTTTTTTAACTTGCAGATCAAAAAGAATAAGATCATATGATCCTGTGGATTATGAATCTATTGACAAAACAGAGTTTTGGATTGTTGAAGAAGAAGAACCTGGCGAGCTTGATTATAATGAATTAGAGAATGCTCTTGCTGAAGAATGTCCCAGAGATGATGAAGTGACAAACTCAGAAAATCTTGTTGGTAAGTTTAAAATTTAGATTAAACTTTCGAACTTTTAATTATACATAAAACTTATTACACTATTTTATCTGTGATTTTTAGATTTTGATTATGATTTCACTATGCCACCTGAAGAAAATGAACTCAACGGTGATAGCGAGAACCAAAATTAGCTGATGTGATTTGGTGTTAGTTTATTTTTGTTATTGACAATTTATTACATTGATGTTTTACTTTTGGTTTATTTTGAATTTGAAGTTTAATTTAATATTTTAGACATTTAAATATTTATAAATTTTATATCTTGATTTGTTTTAGATGTCATTCCTTTTAACTTGTTATAAAAAAAGTCTAAACTAGTTTTTGATATTTTGTATATTTATACATTTTATGTTCTAAAAACATTTAGAAAATATTTAACTTTAATTTATATATTTTTATTTTCATAGCTAATATATTATTAATTATTATATAATAATTAATAAAGTTTTATTTATTAACCCGCGGTTCACCCGCGGTCGACCCAGTAACCCAGTGACCCGGTAAGTCGTCTGGTTCACTGTCCAGGTCGGGTTTAAAAACATTGGATTATGGTATCTCGTTTTGTTGGGAAGTGAGTTCTGAATTGGTGTGGTGTGGTGTGTATGGTTGCAGTATGCTTGCAGGAAGGCTCTTGCAGACAGTCAACCGAGGATCCGAGGAAGGTTTGCAAAACCAGAGGAGATGCAGAAATGCGATGATTTATTAGTTATGTACCTGAAGATGAGCAAGCAGAACAGTTTGATGCAGTGTTTTTGTATATAAGGGTTTGTCTGAATAAAGCCTCTCAGGAGTAAGGATTAGGAAGGAAAACAAGTTGTAGTAAGGTTACAAAAGTGATATGCTTATGTATGTTAGATCTTGTGAAGCTCAGTCTCTAAGAATCTAAATTTATAAGCTGTTTAATGTTCCTTTCTATAGTTTGACCGTAAATATTAACATTTGACGTTGGTAACTGTTTGATTATTTGGATGAATGATTGTGAATGTGCAAACTACAAAGGTAATAACATTTTGAAAATATGAAGAAAAAAGAGATTCTAGCCAAACATTGTCACCATCTAGCGCTTGTGCTTAGTTCTTATCATTAACAGGCATTACTGAGGCATCCCAACCCTGGCCTTGCATCTGCCTGTTTGTAGAGCATGGACTGAGTTGCGTGTTCCCTTACCTGTGGTTGGAAGTCTCCATCGTTTGGCGTGCGAGGCAGCTTTGATAAGGTTGGTGTGGTTGTGTTTGTGGAAGGTTCTGGGTGTTGGGCTATAGAAAGCTGTAGCTGTTCCTCTCGATCATTGTCATTTTTTCCTATCTTAAGTCTGCTAAGTTTTATTTTGTTGTACCTTCTATGATGGTATTCATGTTTAGTAGTTATTGATTTTCCTGTTGTGTGGTTATTGTTTTCTTTGAGTCACTCTGGTGTGGGTTTGAGGTGTCCCTGTGTGGGTTTCAGCAGCCGCTGAGCTATGTTATTGTTTTCTATATGCGCCTCTTTGTGGGTTTTAGCCGTCCTTATAGACTCTCGTTTTTGGGGTCAACTCGTTTGGCTGCTACTGTATGTTTGGTTACTCGTTTGTGGTAATAATATACACTAGATTTTGACCCGCGCAACCGCGCGGGTGTTTGTTTTCACTTTTATATACATAAATATTTGTTTTAAAACATAAGTGGTATATATTTTTAACGTTAATCATATACTTAAATGTTTATATAACTATTTCAAATACAATAATTTTATAATTTACATGTTATATTAATCAATTGTTAAAACCCGTATGTATTTGTCACTTCTTATTATATATTTATCTTATTGTATTTGCATTTAGTTATTAACCAAATTAATATATTCATGAAAAAACATATTTGAAAATTAGTTTATATTTAATTCATGGTAAATTCTAACCCGACCTTCAAAATTGGTTTCTTTTACCAATATTTTCATGTTTATTTATTTTAGATATCATATACTAGTGTATATAAAAAAGTATAACTAAGATATATTAACTTTTAGGCATGTATTATATAGTTTGCTAATTTTAATCCATTCTATCATCATATTGTATTTTTAAAATAAATAGTTTATATTATGAAAATAAAATTTATAAATTTAATATACTTTTATCATATTTAGTTCAATATAATAATTGTCTTTTAACATGATTATTATGACTATGAAATAAATTAAATAAGATATAATTTAAATTTTTCATTTTAGAACGATAACATAAAATACATTAACTTATTGTAAAATATGTTTTCACAGATTTTTTAAAAATTTTAAAATTTAATATATAAATATATATTTATATATATAATGAAAAGATATCAAGATTAAAGTTATAAATATTTTATATTATTAGCTTTAATGAACTACATGTTAATTTATATATGTGTATTTATATAGTTTGCTACTGTTAACCCGTCTTACCAGCATATCATATTTTATTTTGGAACATAAATATTTTATACTTATAAAAATAAAACATATAAATTTATCAATTTAATAGAATTTTATTATATTTATCTTAATATAATAATTTTCTTTTAATATGATTATATTATAGATAATATGATATAATTTTTATTTTATAAACTTAACTGAATATATTAACGTATAATAATATTTCAAACTAATTTCAAAATTAGTAAAAATAGTTAAAGATAATATCGAAATGAAGATCATATAAAATCTTTTAAAATAGTCTTGTTAGAATTTAAATAAATATATTTATATTTAAAATGAAACTGAAGATATCAAAGGATATTATGATTAAGGTATTTTAAAGATTATATATGTTATCAGTCTTAGTTGAAATATATATAGTAAAAATTTCTAGTGATGGGTCCATTTTTAAAAAAAATCGCACATGAATCAAAGTCATGACTTCTGTTTTAATATATAAGATTTCAATTTGGGAAAAAGAATTGATTCAAGTAACATGATTCTAAATTACATTTTATTTTACTTTAACACGTTAAAAAAGAAAGGAGTACTCTAGCTGTTACTCAAGAGAGGAAAAAAGAGAGACTTTCTAGGTAACTCCAAAGCGATGGAAGAAGACTTCTATGACTCTACTATCAGTTTTATTGATTTGCGTTACTTATGTTTCTTTGATTTATTTGATGTTGTAAAAAAATTTTTTTGTCAACTGAAGATTGTTGTAAATTTATTTTAATCAAACAAAATTGTATTGTTCTTGTATGCATTTATTTCAATGGATTTGGAAAAAAAAAATTTGGATATGATTAAAAAATAAAAAAGGATTATTTTAAGATACAATCAATGTATTCAAATCTAAATATTGAAGATAACTGATTCTAGAATTTATTTTATTTTATTTTGAGCTAATAAAAAAATCATCACTGTTGAAGTTATAATATGAGCAAGAAGAACATTTTTTTTTCTTTACTTATGTTTCTTTGATTTATTTGTCGTTGAAATTTATTTTAAATCAAAATTGTATTGTTCTTGTATGTATTTATTTCAATGGATTTGGGAAAATATTTTTTGGATGTGATTAAAAAAACAAAAAGGATAATTTTAAGATATGATCAATGTATTCAAATCTAAAAATTGAAGATAACTGATTCTAGAATTTTTTATTTTATTTTGAGCTGGTAAAAAATCATCAACTGTTGAAGTTATAACAAATTTTAAGATTTCAGCTGTGAATATACATTTAACCGAAAATCATTTAATTTATAAATTATATTTTAACATATAAAAAGAAGTGATATAATTTAAATCTTAAAAAAAGAAGATAACTGATTCTAACATTATATTTTATAATTAATAAAATAAATAAAAGTCTAAAATCTCATTGAAACCATAACAATTTTGTAAGATTTCACCTATGAGCATACAACCAGCAGTCATTTAAATGGCTTTTTAATATTTAAAAAGAAGTGTGATATAATTTGTATGATTTATAATTCCTTACCAATATAGATTTGTACAATTATAAATATATTCATTACCAAAAATTTTATAAAAATATTTAAGTATCAAAAATAAATTTATAAAACTTTTATAAATGGTTTGATAAAATTCTTATAAATGGGTCTATAACCCTTTATAAATGGTTTGAAAAAATTCTTATAAATAATTTATAAACTCTGAAATGATTTTGTAAGCTTTTAAAATAATTTCAAAATCGTTATAAATGATTTATAAATCAGGTATGGGCTTCAAAACATTAAAATTTATAATAAGTATTTATATATAAGAATATGTGGCCATTATATTTATTTCTATAAAAGTAGATTAAATTTAATATAGTTTATAAATAAATAATTGATAAACATAAATAAATTGATAAACTTTAATATTATTTCTCTAATTCTTCAATTGTTGTATTTGACATAACATTTTTTTATAAAGCTGAATAGTAAATGTGGAAATGTTGAGTTGTTTGTATATGAAGATTGTATTATAAAGTAACCGAATTTAGAAGTGCCTGAAAACACCATAAATCAAAGTAGTTGTGAGTAGCTGAATAATTATCTTCACCTATGGCCTACTTTTATAATAGTATCACATTTTCCTTTTCTTCTCTTACTTGCGTCACATACTTTCCTAAACTCAATTAAACGTTGATCAGAAAAGGCTTTTTGTTTTTATGCAGACACAATAAATAAATTCTCCGGCCCATGTTTACTCGCATAATCCTCAGTGCTTTTCTCTCGTCTTCCTACCGCTTCTCGTTAGCCATATGACAATTTAATTTCAGAAAATAAAGATTCGTATTATAAAGTTTCCAAATCATTTGTTGTAACATTATGCATATAGTTTAAAAGAAACTCCATAACAAATGTTACAATCACAATTGATTTATTCGAAATATCGAAAACAAACATCAAAGTAGTCCATAAAGAGAAGTCTTTGGTTTTAATTCTCTTGCAGAGTAGCACAAGAACTAAGTCTTGACAAAGTTAACCAATGAAAACAACAGATAACAACAACAACAAACAACAGAAAAGAACGACTGTCCATATATATACATCGATCTTAAAAGCTTTAGAGAATCATCAAGCAGTGGACCACACACAGATAATTAACTCTTTTTCTTACCGATCTCCAAACGTGTCTAGTAACCTCCTTGGATAAACGAATTTAAGCGGTTAAGCTCCTCACGATGCTCAGTCACCACAGCAAGGACCACATCTCCTATAGACACCATTCCCACCATACCCTTGTCTTTTATCACTGGAATGTGCCTAATCCGATTATCTGTACATTAAACCGAGATTTTTACAAACCCAAAAGTTTACACCTTTAAAATGGAAGAGAAAATATGTATTAGTTTTCTGCTTTTACCTATCATTAGCTGCATAGCCCGCAAGACTTTAGTCTCTGGTGTCACGGTAATAAGTTTATTCTGCAATTACCAATCTACAGATCCAGTCATTTTAATCCCCAGAGTGAAAGCAAGTAAATTTTTTTAATAAATTGATTCAATACCTCTTCAGTCATAATGTCTCCTACTTTTGTTGATTTGGATGACCACCCTTGCACTATGATCTTCTGCAGATAATCTTAAAAAGAATCTCAACGTCAAAACACACTGAACAAAAAAGCAGACTGAGTTGACTCGGAGCGTGAACAAAAGAATCTCGAATCCATGCTCCTCCATACGAGAAGACTGAGTTGACTCGGAGCGTGAACCAAACACAACACAAGGCTGAACCGCTGGGTTAATCACACGGAGATGTTGCAGCAGAGAGGCTTTCACAACGTTTCCACCGGACACAAACGAACGAATCGCAGCTTGCATCTTTCCCTAAATAATTCAAATCAACCAAGTTTTTACTTCTTTTAACAATAACCAATCATCAGGATCTCAAAAGTCAAATAAGCTAAAAGTGGAAACTTAACTTCCTTTAATACGATTGCTTATACATAAAAGGAAACGATGTAGAGATACAGAAGAATGAGAGATTCAGACCTGAGATTGATTATAGAAGAAGGATTAGATCGGAATGGGAAGGTGAAGAACCGTAGAGTATGAGCAAGAAGATATAGTATCACAATTCAGTTATTAAACTACTCAAGAGAGAAAGATTAGAGTAAAAGGTGTATACCCTGAGATGATGGAAGGCTTAGCACGGAGTTTCCCGTTGAAAGAATCAGATGAACTACCGAACAGATCTAACTCATCGTCCATGGAGCAACTACAGCAGTTGCGTCCATATTTTGCTTGCCTCGTGGTGTTCTCCCTATGACGTTCTTAACCAAAATAAAAAAAATGGAAGCAGTGGGGGACTCGTCATTCCCGTTTGGGTTGCCATCGATTGCTCTGATAATTGAGTTTCCGTGATTTTGGTGAAGGGGAGAAGCAAGAGTGATGGAATGGGAATCGATTCGTGCTGTTAGGATTGTTGCAGTAAATGTGGAACGATGAAGAGGAGTATCAGAAACGACGGTGTTGATGAGTTGCTGATGTGGCAACTTAATAGAAAATGATTGGTTTGAATTTTTAATCCGACGTGGACATCCTCTCTTTTGAGTATATGCAACTTTTAATAGTGTTAGATATTCTTGCTTATTTCTCACTTATATAGTACTAGTGGTTGGCCCGCCCTACGGGCGGAAGATTTACATTAAATTATTGTATATTAAAATATATTTTAAATTTTTATAATATTTATTTTAAATCGAATTAAATAAATATAGTTTGTTTTCTAATTAGGTTATACTTATTTATTTTGTTAACATTTGACCTTTTTTTTTTATAATTCTTACGCGTTTGGATTTTTATTCGTTATCAACAATATTTTATGACATTGTACTGTTTAATTTTAGTATTCATTTCAGTTATATTATTAATGAAAGATACATGATCTTTTTTTCACTTACATGAGACTATATGTGTTGTATTTAATATTTTTTAATTGTGTGTTAAAGTTTTATGTTTGGTTGTGGTATATCTGAATGTATTCTATCCGTGATTATGAATTTGTGTCTAACAATGTTTTTATTCAAAAATGTCCTTAACAAAATTAGGAAATCACATAATTTACTTTAGTTAATATAGCGTGTTTTATCTTCTCGAGATTTTTTTTGGTTTAGTGTGAACCAGATTTTTATCAGAAGAAGGGAAAATACATTCTTGAACAAAATTTGTTATATTTCACTTAATAACGAAAATAAATTTTTTTTTTTTTTTTTTTTGGTAATCATGTTAAATTTCATACCTTTTTAGAGTTTACATGTTGCTTAGCAACTTATTTGAGCGAAAATCAGAAACACAACAACCCAAACAAGAGGAAAAGTTAGAAACGGGAAAGGAGAGAGATGGAGAGTCATGGTGGCCGTGTACACTCGAAGTAGACCTGGAGCATAGATGGCTGCTGGCGAGGGGTAGGTGGAATCGATAGGAGACGATCCCTGATCTGCCTGTCAACAGCAAAACGGATTGAGTCAGCAGAAGATGCAGAGTTTGTGAAGATCCTCCTATTCCTTTCTCCCCATATTAAGTAAATGGAGGATTGGAACATGAGCTTGATAATACACCGGTACTGCGGCGAAGTGGGGTTTCTGGTCATACAAATCCTTGCAGCTGCTGAATGAATATCAAGAGGTGGATTTGGCCAGACATTTCCTGCAAAATAGGTCCATATACTTGCTGAAAATTCACACTCAAAGAAGAGATGATGATGGGTCTCTACAGCAGCTAAGCAAAGAACACATTGGTCGGGAACATTCATTCCCCATCTTCGAAGTCTGTCTCTGGTAGGAAGTCTGCGCAGAAGCGCCAGCCAAGAGATAAATGAATTCATTGGTATGTGTTCCTTAAACCAGATGGCTTTATGCCAATTTTGCACCGGAGAGGGAACTCTAATATGCTCCCAAGTTACCTTGGAATAGAAAGAAGAACCAAATGACCCATTGCTTTGAATCCAGAGAAACATATCATTCCCCCGATGGTGAGCAGGAACTGATATTGAAGTTAGAGCAATTTGGAAAGATTCACTTTGCATAGACCTTGCCGCAGGGATGTTCCAGAAACCATTTCGCGTTGCATCAGATACCAAAGATGACAAACTGATTCTCAACTGTCGAGGGCCATTAGCTCCAATATATCTTAGCAAGGGACCAAACTCAGTCCAGGAATCAAACCAGAACATTGCTGTTGCACCATTCCCAATTTCACATCTTAAGAATTCCACTAGGAGATCCTTTACCAGCACCATACTTCGAACAGCCTTAGACAGCCTTGGTGAGTCCTCCATTATCCAGAAAGGCTTTCTGTGGAAGACATTTGCCTTTAGCCAAGCAACCCATAGTGATTCAGTATTTGTGAAATAATTCCAGACATGCTTTAACCTGAAAACCATCTCAAACTCTTCCATCAATCTAATACCCAAACCACCTTCCTTCTTAGGTCTAAAAACATCTTTCCAAGACACTCTTGCTCCTCTGGAAGGGCTAGACTTATTACTCCATAAGAAAGCTGCACATAACGAGTCAATCTTTTCGTAAAAACTCTTAGGTAGAACGAACACTGCACTCCAAAAGTTAACTTTGCTGTAAATAACAGAAGTGATCATATTTATTTTCCCAGCGAAAGATAAATATTTTGTAGTCCAGGAGTGTAGCTTCGAAGTAATCTGCTCCAGAAAAGGCTGAAGAGTAGCAAGAGAGATACGACCCGGTTTCAAAGGTAAGCCCAAATACCTTGTTGGAAACACTCCCTGCTTAATGCCAAGTATGTTGCACAAAACTTCTTTCTCAATATCCTCAAAACCCCCAAAAAATAACTCAGACTTTGCAGGATTCATATCTAAGCCACTACAACGTTTAAACTCTGTTAGCACCTCCATAATGCCTAACAAAGAGTGCTGGGATCCATCAGAGAAAACCAGAAGATCGTCCGCGAACAGAAGATGAGAGATCAGTGGCTCCGAACACTTAGGGTGAACTCTGATCAGGCCTTGAGCAACAAAATTCTCTAGGAGTTTAGACAGAACTTCCATGGCCATAATGAAGAGGTATGGAGATATCGAGTCTCCTTGTCTCAAGCCTTTCTTACTAGCAAAGAACCCTGCCAGTTCTCCATTAATCGCAACTGAGAAACGAGGTGAAGAGATGCACTCGTAAATCCAAGTTCTGAATAAACGAGGAAAACCCTGTGCTTCCAGAATCTTACTCAAAAAATCCCAAGATACTGTGTCAAAAGCTTTTCTAATGTCAACTTTCAGCATAGAGCTTCTTTGACAACAATTTTTCTCGTAGTCCATAATAAGATCTGACGCTAGTAAAACATTTTCTCCAAGACTTCGCCCTTTTAGAAAAGCTGCTTGATTCTTGCTTATACTCTCCTTTAGGATTGGCTTCAAGCGATTAGCAATGATCTTAGATATCAACTTATAGACCACATTGCAACAGCTAATCGGTCGATAGTCTCCAAGAGCACTTGCTTCTGGAGTTTTAGGAATTAAAGCAAGAGTGGTGGTATTTAAATCCTTGAGTAATCTGCCATTCCTAAAAAACTCCCTCACTGCCGCAATGACATCAATACCAATAATACTCCAAGAAGCTCTAAGAAACTCAACATTATAACCATCAGGTCCAGAGGACTTATCTTTGGGCATGGAGAAAACTGTTCTCACAATCTCGTCATCCAACACAGGAGCCTCGAGAGCTTCAGCTTGAGTGGATGAGCACCGAAAAGAGAGAATGCTTTGTAACACGTTAACGGTACATGGTGACTCTTCCATCTCAGAAATCCCCAGAATCCCTGCAAAATAGTCAGCAGAGTGAGCTTTTATGGCGTCAATGCCAGTTATGAGGCTTCCATCCGAGTCAGTCAAGAAATGAATATGATTACAAGCCGCTCGCTGATCCATCGTCTTGTGATAAAAAGCAGTGTTTCTATCCCCAAGGTCGTACCATTGGACACGAGAACGTTGATGGTAGAATTTTCCTTCAGCCTTAGCAAGAATTTGCCATTTCCTTCTTTCCTCATGTTCAAGCACGACAATACTGGTTTCTGGATTTGTCAAGATCTGCCTTTGAAGTTGGGAAACCACCTCTGCCTGGTCCTTGACTCTCTGAGAAATCCCACTATAAAACCTTTTGTTTATATTCCTGAGCTCTTTCTTCAAAAGCTTTAAAGATCTGACCAGCTTGAATTGATAAGTTCCCACGATAGATTCCGGTTTCCAAGCTGTTCTCACTGTTTCCTCAAATAAAGGATGGTCCACAATGTGATTAAAAAACTTGAAAGGCTTTGGAGCCCTTCTTTGCGTTGAAGGAAGATGGAAAAGGCACGGCGCATGATCAGATTGTTGTGGCTCCAAAAACTCCGCATAACCTTCAGGAAAACTCGTAGCCCAAGATTGGTTTACTAGAGCATGATCAATTTTCTTAGAGATCGGATTTGCGTCTTGATTATTCCACCAAGTATATGAGAGACCCTTATACTGTGCTTCAAAAATTTCAGCCTCCTGCATTGCGAGATTCATATCCTCCATTCCATCAACATCCACTTCAAGCTCTTCAAAATTAGAGTGATGATTTGACCGGGTAATCTGATTAAAGTCTCCGATAACAGCCCAAGGGTGGTTTGCAACAGGAGTAGTAGCATTTAGCGATTCCAATTCCTGCCAGAGATTTCTCCTAGACTCCACTTCATTACATCCGTAGACAAAAGTAACGGTAATACTGATACTCTCCAAAGGTAAGAAAAAACCACAAGTCACTGCTTGGGAAGTGGACTTGTAGATATTGGTAATTACATTGGGACTCCAGACTACAACAATCCGAGCAGTGTGATGATGATCCCAGTTTGCATAAAACTTCCACCCTCTAGGAATAGCACTAAGTATCCTTCTTGCATTAGTAGGTTGTATATGTGTTTCTAAATACGCTCCAAAAGTTGGTCTTTGGTTAGCTATCCACTCTCTGACCATAGTGTGGCGTCTTTCATGATTTAGACCTCTTACATTCCACGCAAAAAACATATTAAAATGTTGGATTAGTGACGTGTGACCTTGTGGCCACTCTTCCGATTGGATACCAGAAGAAAAGGAGATGAGTTCTGATCAACAGGCTGTTCTGAAGATGTGAAATCCGAAGCCTGATTTGTATGAGTAACCATTACAGTCGAAGCACAACATGCCCTCTCTAAAGAAATAACCTGAGAGTTATTCACAATACTTG